ACCAGTTCCAACTAACGAGGTGTCTGGAGGCAAGACAGGCAGGACCCTAAGATGGGAAGGCATTGGCAAGCAGAGATTCCAAAGGGGAGAGGGGAGCGGACGCAAGGAAGACACAGGAGTCAGGATAGGGTGCAAGTCTTCCTGCCCATCTTTTTGAAGGTCTTTATTTATACAGTTTAGCAAGATTTAGTTACAAAAAATGCATCAGGTAAGTTAATCAGAAATCAGCATAAAAGTTTTAAAGGAAGAGGGGAACAATGCATCCTCTTCCTGCTACTTTATGGCACACTATACTATACAGCTTTGTGATAGCTTTCATATATATGGATGTTTAACTATGACTTCAAAGGATCAGGGTCTGGGAAAGGATGAACTGTCAGCAAAGGATTTAGGAGTTCTAGGGAAGGAATAAATTGTGTTAGCAGAGTCATCAGTGACAGTCTAAAGAAAAGCTAATGGCTAACTTAAGGTTAGCAGAGAGTAGCTAGTGTTTGTTTTAGGAAAAGGTTAAATAAGACTAGCAGAGAGTAGTTAGTGATTGTTTTAAGAAAAGAGTAAATTAAGAGGAAGTCACATAGGTATGCATTAAGCAAAACCTGTGTTGATAATGTTAGGAAATTGTCCATGGGCCCTTATGCCCTGGGAGTTATCTAAGATTTGCTTTTTGTCTAAAGACCAAAGAAGCTTTCCAGGAGCCTTAATGCTCCAGGGTCTCATCTCTCCAGGAGCTTGCCTTTTGTCTTCAGTCAAAGGAATTTCCTGCCCAGGAGCAGCTCAACTTGTACTTTGCCCAGGCCAGGTAGCCAATTTAGAGCTAAGGCAATCCAGTTACAAACTGATGTTGCTACAATATTTTTGATATTATTATACAAAAAAGGGAGGTCATAACATAAGTTAGCAGTGGAAATTCTGATTTTTCAGAGCTTTTCCCAATCTACCCAAAATCTGTCAGTCGATAGACATTGCATAGCTTGTGTCATTTTCCCCTGTGGACTTGCTTGGGTATCTGTTTGTCTTCCTTTCCCTAACATGTATTTTCTAATACTTTCTATTTGCTGAGACAAATTGCCTGGCATTCTTTCTGGATGTACTTTCTGGGGTGGCTGAGGGACTTCAGACATTTCAGTTGTGGAGGGTATCCTGAGTTATGCTTTGTTTCAATATCTTCTGCTTTTGCAGCCCCCACTGTGTAGAATTGTGTCTGTAGACTCAGCCAGTAACAGTCAGGGGTCTCTTGTGGTGTTCAGCTTCTTCCAGTAACACCTTGAGTCCTTGTCTCTGAAAGATGCCTGCTGCTTTTATGTAGCCTCTGATGTCCCAGGTTCCCTATCTGCTTAGATGTGTCTGCGGTGGGTGGGGCACATTAGAAGTAGTGTAGGTCTCCCTATAGCTGGGCCTGTGATTGAGTTGGTCACTGGTTTTGTTTACTTTCTGAGTACTGTGAACCTTTTGGCTCACAAATCTTCAGGCCTCTGTGAGTTGAGTTGTCTCTCCTTATTTCCAGAGTGGGCTGGAGGGAAACAAGCCTCATTCTAAGGCACTTCCTAGTGCCTGGGCATCAGGACATTCCAGGTCCTAGCACCTGGGTGCCTGGGCGATCCTGGATCTGGGCTGCAATCTTTCCTTGTAGTTTGGATTATACTCACCCAACTGTGCTGTCTCTCCTTATCTCCAGGGCAGGCCAAGGGGGGGATGGGATGCAAGTCTCCTTCTAGCGCCTGGGCGAGCTCTCGGGTCCTAGCACTTGGGTGCCTGAGTGATCCAGGTTCAGTGCTGCAGCTTTCCCCTGCAACTTGGATTCCACTCACCCAGATGAGCTGTCTCTCCTTATCTCCAGGGTGGGCAGAGGGGGGAAGGGAAGCAAGTCTCCTTCTAGTGACTGTGCACCTGGGCAAGTTCCCTGGTCCTAGAACCTGGGCACCTGGGCGATCTGGGATTTGGCTACACCATTTCCCTGAAGCTTGGATTCCACTCACCTAGCAGAGCTGTCTCTCCTTATCTCTAGGGAAGGTCAAGGGGGGGGAAGGATGCAAGTCTCCTAGTGGCTGGGTGCCTGGGCACTCCCTGGTCCTAGCACCTGGGCTTCTGGGCGATCCAGGTTCAGAGCTGCAGCCTTTCCCTGCTTCTTGGATTCCACTCATCCAGCTGAGCTGTCTCTCCTTATCTCCAGGGCAGGCTGAGGGGGGAAGGGAAGCAAGTCTTCTAGCACCTGGGCGAGCTCCTGGGTCCTAGCACCTGGGCACCTGGACGATCTGGATTGGGGTTGCAGCCTTTCCCTGCAGCTTGGATTCCACTCACCTATCTGAGCTGTCTCTCCATATCTCCAGAGCAGGCCTAGGGGAGAAGGGAAGCAAGTTTCTTCTGGCACCTGGGCGCTCCTGGATCCGATCAGGGTTCCCCTGTCAGAACTCCCCAAACACCCATTCTCCCTCAGTTATCTTCCTTCTAGTAAGTCCAGGGTGTTCTCATTTGAGCTGAAAGTCACAGTATGTAAGTCCACAGACCGTTTTTCATCTTATATTTCTGTGTGAGTTTGAACATAGTGTTTTTGGCTCTTCACTCTGCTGCCATCTTGCCAGCAAATGATACTGGCAAATACTTTTTTAAAAATTCATTTATCTTATATGAAGTTTGGGGCATCTTTTTGTTTTTTAAGTTTTTTTTTTTTCTTTTTTGCTTAGAAGACTGGATTGTAGACCAAAGGTGCAGGGGTGATGGGCAAGAGGATTGACCAGAGACTGAGTAGGGAGCAGAAAGGCAGATCTACTGAAATATACTGCGGAGTGGAGCAGCTGGTAGCACAGAGAGGTCTGCTGTGCCATGTGTGAATTAGCTCCCTGGAGATTGAACTCAGGCAGTGGTAGTGAACTGGCACTGAGAATTAACCCCTAGGCCTCCAGGAAGGCCCTGAGCATCCTTTTATGTTTAAGAGCTATTTTAGTAACTCTGTTAGTGAATTTGAGTTTCAGATCCCTTGTCATCTTCCTATGGGATTTTTAATTTGTTTTTCTCCATTTTTAAGATGTTTTTGTTTATATTAGTGAGTAGGCTTTATCTGTTAAGTAAGTTGCAAATATTTTTAGCAGTTTATCATTTGTCCTTTTTTAATAATTTATCTGTAAAAAATTTTCCCACCCCCTCTTCCTTGTACCCTTTAACCCTTTCTGTTCTCCCTCTCTCTTAACCTCAGAGCCTTCAAGGTGTTTTTTAATGTTCACTAGCTTTTGAAAGTTTTTTTGTTGTCAAATGTCTTTTATCTGAATGTTCAATATTTGTTTTTATTGATCTGCTTTCTAGATATTATTTCTCTCAAATTTATTCTATTTTGTTGAAAATGGTTGCATTTTTTCCTTTCATGTGGCTAAATAATAATCCATAATGTGTATGTATTTTCTTGATTCATTTGTCCCCTGTAGGAGAGTTAGGTTTCTTCTAATACTAACTATGGTAAACAATACTGCTGTGAGTATTATGGATGATATGATTTTTGATAATGCTTTATATTCTGGGGATATGTGTCCAATAATAGAATTGGGAGGTTTATGTTATTTCATTATTAATTTATTAAGGTAAATACAGATTTCTTTTTATAAAGGTTACACTAGTTCACCTTCACACCAAGAATGCAATAGGGTTTCTTTTTCCACACATCCTCTCCAACACTTGTTGGTGGTGGTCTTTAAAAAAAAAATATATATATATATATATATTATATTTATTTATGCATACAGAACTGGGGTACGGGACAGAGATGTAAGGCTGGTGAGAGCATTCACCAGAGACAGAATAGGGATCAGAACAGGCAGACTGACTGAAATACACAGCTGAGGGAGCAGTGGGTGAGACAGGAGAGGTCTGCTGTGCCACGTGGATCACCTCTGAAGCCAGGGATTGAACTCGCACTGAAGTGGCTGCAGTTGGCTTGCAGTGCTGTGCTGTGCTTTAGCCCACTGTGCCACCAGGGAGGACCCAGTGGTCTTTTTAATATGTGACATTCTTTGGTTTTGAGGTAGTATCACATTGTAGTTTTAACATGTATCTCTCTTATTGGGAGTCTACAATGAACTTTTTTTTTCATATTTTTTTGGTCATCTGATTATCCTATGGTTTGTCTTTAATGTTTCAGACTTCTACTAATGGTTCATTTCAGGCATTTCTTGTGTTGGCATTTTTACTGTGCTCTTTTGTCTGCTGTAATCAATTTTGTATGGGTTTCAATAGGGGTAGATTTTCAACTACTGTTTTGCACCTTATGAAGTGGGTATATGGTACTGGAGGTATAATAATTAAAAAACACCAGGCAGTAAGCATCAAAACATTCTTCCAATAGACTCAGGATGTTGAACTTCCTTTTATGCATCATTGTCATGTCAGTGATAAACTATTGTCATTGATGAATTAAACACAAACAATTTAGAATAGTGCCTGAAAAAGAACAGTAGTCCAAAATAAATGGCTGCAGTTACCCTGGGCAGGCTGACAGCAAAATCCTACAGAAGAGGGGCCTACATTTAAGCCACCAGCATTCCTGCAATCTATCCAGTGGAATGGACCCCTGCCCTCCCCACCCCCCGTAATGAAGGACATTCTTCACATTAACTCCCAATATATTTGGGGTAAATAAATACTGAACTTCTGGCATGACTGAGTTGAAGAAGCAGAGAATTTGGCATTTTTAAATGTTATTTTTTTCTCTCTTAGCATTAAGTTAGGTACTTTAAAGTGGAAAAATAACATGATATTGCAAAAGTATTGTGGTGCTTACAGAAAATGTGCTATCATGGCACATTTCCAGGCACTCAGTGATTTTCTATTTGAGGCTGGTACATGTGTTTGCAGGTCACCTCTGGACTGTAGTAAAATAGTACACATCTCTGTTTCTGCAGGAAGGGAGGCTCAGGCTGGATATCCAAGAGTGAGGTCTGTGTGATGCCCATGTTGGGAAGGAAATGGGTGGGCACGACCTGAAATGGTTTTTGTCTGGGTGATCTTGGTGATTCTAATGTTGTGTATCCAGATGGCACAGTAGTACATGGCCTCATCTTCTTTCGTTAAGAAGTAAACTTTCAAGGTTGAAGTGGAAGTACTAGAATCTTTACTTGCTTCAAGCTTGATACCCCAACTTGTTTTCTTCTGAGCTGGTTGTCTTGTAGAATCGACTCCTATTAGATATTCTATAATCTGGTTAGGCTTCTGCCGATACCAGAATATGTATGCATCATTAAAATTTGTTACAGACACCTTACAAGATATCTGGGCTCTTTGGTCTTTCATCTTGGAAATTGACATTTCAGGCTGTTGCAACTGCCCAACACCAACTGTAAACAATGAAATGAAATCCCTATGAACAAATGATATACACGAGGCAATAACAAATTTTCTTAGTGTCGCCTATGGGCTGAAAACATAGCAAGACAAACTCACAGGCCCAGAGGGAAGAGAAGACGACAGCTTCCAGGAGAGGCATCCTGTTGGCTGGCTGCTCCCAGGAAGATGAGAAAGTGAGGTCCCTGTGAGCAGGAGGTCTCAGGGAGATTGGGGATGGATCTGGCGTCTCAGAGGAAGTGATGGCCCAGAGTGTTTGCCAGGCTTCTTTATGCTCTGCTACAGACCTGAGATCTGTTTACTTCCTGAGCCCTATGGTGCTGGCAGATTTGGTAAGAGACCTCAAGATCTGGAAAGAAGTCCCAGGTATGAAAGGTATGCATTTGTATATCTTGGGACAGGGGAGGGACTGTTCTTATATATTCACTCGTTCCACTTGACATTTCACACTGTGATCTGATTCAAACATGTGAGAACATATGTTCAGCCCTTATCTTTCTGCAATTTACTTGTGAGTCAGGATTTGCATACAAAAACTTTATTTTTCTATAATACAACAAAACAAATTCAGAAACTGCAATGCTTTTAATGTACTATGTTTTTTTTTTAAAACAGTTGATGTATTGCCACAAAAATCATAATCCTGTGAAATCTAATTTCATTTATACTCTTGGTGCCTCCAAGAAGGGAAAATACTATATTTTTAGAGAGTAGAGAAAACTGAAAATCAGCTTCTACTCACTCTAGAGTAGCTGTTCCTTGAACATTATGTCATGTGCAGGAGTATTGTCAATGCAAAGTATGTTTAAAATGTACTAATACGCTTTAAAAGTCATATGGCATTAATTTCCATTAAGGACTTGGTCGCTGTCGAGCATTGTTCTAAATGTTTCCTTAGATTATTTTGTTTGATCTCTCAACAGTCCTATGTCATAGCTGTTATGATAATCCCTATTTGAAATGAGAGTGTGGTGGAAAAGAAATTCACTCATTCAAAGACAAATTTTGTATGGGTTGGGTTTGATATTTTATGTGTGTGTGATTGTATATTTTAAACATATTAAGAGGCTTACATTATCACATTACATGAAGACAATACAGAAAACACCTAGATATTAGAACTTGATACATAATGATTCTTCAATGATAGAATCAAATATTTGATATAGCATTGTATCCAGCAAAAAAAAAAAAAATGACCTTTCTGTTAATTTGTTTGGATTCAGAACTCAGGAAAATGAAACATGGATATCATTTGCAATATAAAAATAAAGCAAACTAAAGTTTAAAATTGACATTAGTTATACATCATCTTAAAAGCAATAGTCCTGTGGTGATGGTGGACCGACAAATTAGGGGAGGAAATTCTATGGGATCTACACCTGAGGAGTGAGGGAGTTAATATTATTTTAAATGAACAATGTAAATGTATATGTGTGTGTGTGTGTGTGTGTGTGTGTATAATAACAAATAAAATCAATAGTCATTTTGATTTGAAATGGAATGGAAAACTTTGTTTTGTAATAAATTGGTATGTCAACACGCAGATTTTAAGTCAGAGATATCAAATTTCATTTACAGTCTGGTGTCCTTCCAGAGGAGAAAGGACTGAAATTTCTAGAAGGAATATCACACAAAGCAATCTACTAGCTCTGAATCCCAGAACTATCTCAAGAACATTATCACAGGGAAAGATATTGTTAATCAATGTTCATCTTTAGAAGCTAAAGTAAGCCTTTAACATTAATATTACATCTAATAACTGTTGAGAACTTATTAGCACTTTTATATATAGTTTCTTGATTATTTAATTTATTATCTCTCAGTCATGAAAGTCAGTGGTATTATTTCCCTTTTACAATAATAAAAGTGTGAAAAGGTGACTTATCACAAGTCACAGTGTTAGTAAATATGGGAGCTTGGATTAATTAGAGGTGCTCCTTTAAGAAAATCTGAGTAAATGTGTCATAAAATGATGAAAATAAAATCCATCATCAATTATTTTTAAATATTACATAGCACACATTTTTTATTGTAAATAGCTTTATACATAGTTTCATGTTCCTTTCTTTTATTTGACTTCAGATCTTTAAAATATTTCAGGTCCTAAAATAGTTTATTTGAATATCATTTCTAATGGCCCATGAAAACAAGTACCCACCTGGATTACTCTGTCTAAGCTCTTTGTGTCCGCTTTGACATCTGTAATTGCCTAAATAAATATCTTTCAGAAACTTAAGTTATATTATAAGCTTATGAAAAATGATAATGAAGAGAAAGTATAGATAATACTCCCTGGTATATTATTATGCTATTTATGATGTTTTCAAATTGTGTTGTTATTATATTGACATAAAAAGAGAAAATAATCTCATTAAATACTGAGATTTTTTTTAATTTTTTTTAAATATTTATTTATTTATTCATACAGAACTGGGGTACAGGCCAGAGATGTGGAGGGTGAGAAGATTCACCAGGAACAGAGTGGGGAGCAGAACAGGCAGATGGACGAAGTACACTGCTGAGGGGAGCAGCAGGCAAGTCAGGAGAGGTCTGCCACGCCATGTGGATCTCCTCCGGGGCAGGCGGGGATCGAACTCATGCATGAGGAATTGGCTTATGATTCTTAGTGCAGTGCTTTAGCCCGCTGCGCCACCAGGGAGGGCCCTTTTTTTAAAAAATTTTTATCTTAAAAATTATTATAGCTCCAGGGCCCTCCCTGGTGGTGCAGTGGGTTAAAGCACAGCACTGAGAAACTTAAGCCACTTCCGCATGAGTTCGATCCCCACCTGCCCTGGAGGAGATCCATGTGGCGAGGCAGACCTCTCCTGACCCATCCGCTGTTCCCCTCAGCAGTGTACTTCGTCAATCTGCCTGTTCTGCTCTCGGCTCTGTCTCTGGTGAATCCTCTCACCCACCGCATCTCTGTCCTGTACCCCAGTTCTATATGAGTAAATAAATAAATCTTTAAAAAAAATTATTATAGCTCCATTTAACAAATTTACAAAATGAATGAGAGTGAAGAAAAATAGGAACATCTGTTCTGTCTGAATAAAGGCTTATCTTAAAGCTCAAGTATTTCCATTCACTTTGTTTCCAATATTTCATCAACATAAATTATTTTCCCAACTCCTTTTGCTCATCATTGAATTTGTCAGTGATTTTCTTCCTTAGGGATCATATTGAAAAACTTATATAATTGTTATATCCCGAGATTCATTTCTCTGCAGATACGGTATCATTAAATGTACTGTCCTTCTGTACATTGCATGAAAAACTATATGCAAAGAATTTTCCTGTATTTTGAGAAACATAATTCACACTTTCCATGCATCCCTCTTGGTAAGGAATCATCTCACATGCACAAATTTCACTCAGTTTTGATCTCTAATTAGCTCACATAAAAATATAGAATAGGAAAGTTTTGTGTAGGTTCAAGTAGTCCATGACACCCCACATAGAAATTACCATGATCATATAGCATTAGTGAAAATGTAAACTAGGGCCCTCCCTGGTTGCTCAATGGGTTAAAACCCCATGCTAGGAAACAAGCGTCAGCAGGAGTTCTGTCCCAGGCCAGAGGTGTTACCGACATGGCACAGCAGACCTCTCCTGTTCACCTGCTGCTCCCCTCAGCAGTACACTTCTTCAATCTGCTATTCTGCTCCCCACTCTGTCTCTGGTGAATCCTCTCATCACCCTTGCTCATCTGGCCTGTACCCCAGTTCTGTAAGCATAAAGAAAGAAATCTTAAAATAAAAATAAAATGTAGACCAAAGATCTACAAATCCCTCTTTTTCACATTCCCTTACACCTCAGTATTGAACAGTCCCTAGAAATAGGGACTAGAGAGGATAAATACATTGATACTCTTTGGGAAAATTTTAATTGAGCTGAAATTACAAATAAGAAAATTACTTATATCTGTATTCTTACTAGAAACTCACTGAAGTTGCTACACTCAGAAGTAAAAATAAGAATATTTTTTAGCTTTATATTTTAAAAAATCAATTCATAATTTGTTCTCGTTTCACTTATTCTTGGAAGATGACTAATCTCTCAAACCCTGGGCTTGTACTTCAGCATTTGTTAATAACTTCTCTCAGTTAATGTTCCATAGTGATTAGGTCTATCTCCTCTTTATTGTCTTACAATTAAGTGGTTTAGTGTAATAGTCAAGAGGATCCAGAATATCTGATTCCCTGCCCTACTATATCCAGTAAAGTGACCTTCACAGTGACTGAAACGCTTAGAACTTCACCTGCCTCCTGAATCAACTATGCTTGATGATAACAGAGCAGACCATGTAAGTAGTGTGGGTTAAAAGCACGGCAATATGCAAAGAATTGAAAACATCAATGGAGAACTCATTCACACACACACACACACACACACACACACACACACACACACATTAGCGCTTCTGGTTTTAGTAAATTGTCTCTTCTTTCCCAGGTAGAATCAAGGGTTACCCAATATGGGGAAGTCATCTAACAGCTCTGATGAATTCCAGGCTCTATTCTGATGACATCATGAGGGAAGAACCTTTCTCCCCACACTACGGGGAGAAAATGACACTTATGCCATCTCCAATTTGCCCCCCATATTCTAGCATTCACCTAACGAATGGTAATCCTTAAACTCTTCAGTGTGGTGTCACATTCCAGTTCAAAAATCATTGACTTCTTTCTTTACGTGATCATGAAGCTTAGATTCACTTTCCTCTCTTTAGTTATGGAATAGGCTAATAACAGTTGGATCACACAAGGGGCTGTCTCAAGAAGGTGTGATAATAGTGGACATCATGAGCCTCTTTTTAACCTGGACCTTTCTCACTCCCAGAAAGTCTCAGGGTCGGGGCATGATGGCCAATGGCATAGCTTGAGTGCCCTCAGTCCCTGACAGGAGTTTCATTCACTGGAAAATAGTGACAAATTCAGCTTTGGCAGCAAAATCCCTGGGGTCATTTGGAAGTGATTATGCAAGTCACCTGAGATGAGTTCTTGGAAGGGTCTGGAGATGCTGTAGTGACGAGAGGCTGAGGTCCGTAGCTCAGCCCAGGGCTCACTGTGGCTGCCACTGTTGGGAAGGATGTGGTTTGGCACACTGCCTGGAAGGAGAACTTGTGTGGTTTGTCTCAAC